AAAACCACATGTACAAATGTATATTGACAGCTGTATTGACGTAAATGGACTACTAAATAACAGTGTCAGTGTGTGATAAACAGTCAGTGTCATGGACTGGTTGACAATACAGTGGTATTGTTGTTGGTGATTGACATGCAAACAACAGCTGCATTACTGACATGTGTCATCATTGTTGTTGAACTAGATTGTGATCGTATCCGTGATTCAGAATACAACAAATGAGTACAGAGTTGTATTGACAGCATCGACAATCAAACACAATACATGAATGTGAGTTCAAACTTGGTGATTGTACAATGCATGATTACTAATAGTGCACAAAGTGTAGATTCAACACTATAGTCTGATTGTGTGTCATATGATGATGGTTGTATATCGAACACGCAATGCAGTCAATGTGTAGTAGCCATTGTATATTGCAATGCAGAATACAGTCATTGTATGATGAATACTGGAGTGAACCATTTGACACGAATACAGCTATAAAAAGGAGCGTTTGCGGTTAAACAAACCCTTGAAGGATGCGCTTTTGAATATACCTGATAAAAGGGTTGTAAAAGCATAATCCAATTGACATGATCATCAAATTGATCAATATGGCATTATAAATAGGGAGCAGCACACTGTCTAATTTGATATTGGCTCACTACAAGCAATCAAGTAGCCCTGTGTCGTTGATTAACCTAAAAGGGTTAGGGTTAATTTACTGTACAAAAATACAAATACAATGAAGTATGCTCAGTTTCATGATCGACACCAGTTTAAATACTCTACTTTTCCATCAATTGCTTAGACACATTCATCGGACTCGATGAAATTCACTGACATTTTATTCATACTGGCTGCGGCAGCAACCGCTAATGCAATACTAATACCGACAGATAAAGATGATACATCTCAATTATCAGACACTTCCAGTCAAGTGTCTGATCCACTTGATGAACTCAATCCAAGCATTCCCGCCCAGTATTGGAAAGACATAATGGATCAATTTTATTCAGAAACTTCCAATCAAGGTCAGCAACAACTAATTAATGTAGCTGGTCCAAGTACTCTTAACCAAGGCCAAAAACGTACAGTAGATGTAATTGATTTAACCATGCCTGACGAAGACCAACAAGACCCAATTGATCAACCCAGTCCAAGTATTCCCAGACGAGGTCAGAGACGTACAGTAGATGTAATTGATTTAACCATGTCTGACGAAGACCAACAATATCCAATTGATCAACCCGGTCCGGGTACTTCCAACCGAGTGTCTGGTTCAATGAATCAACCCGGCTCAATCATTCCTGATGAAGATTGGAAAGACATAATGGATATGATTGATTCAGACACTTCCGGTCAAGACTGGCAACAGCCAGTTGATCAATCCGGCACAGGAATTACCAACCAATACTGGCAATATCCAGTCGATCAATCCGGCACAGGAACTACCAACCAATACTGGCAACAACCAGTTGATCAATCTAGTACAGACACTTCCGACCAAAACTGGCAACAACCAGTTGATAAATCCAGCACAGGAACTTTCAAACAAAACCGAAAACGCCCAATCGATCAATCTGGTGCAGACACTTCCAGTCAAAACCGGCAGCACTTGACGAATCAACCCGGTCCAAGCACTTCCAAAAAAAGTAGAAAGCTCCCAATTGGTAAAGGAGGTTCAGATAAGGAGACTAAATCTGAGAGAATATTTCGACTCTATAATGAGCTAAAGAAAAAGGTTGGGCTGTCTGAAACGAGGCGAGATGACAAGTGCGAATTTTATCACCATTATGTAGCCCGTGGACTGGAACACAAGTCAGGGTTAGCCAAGGGAAAAGGTATATCTAAACTAGCTCACAGTCAAGAGGCTGAAGATCGATTGAAAGTGGAGTGTGACGAATTAACGAAAAAAGTAGAGATTGCAAAACAAAATCTAAAAGACTTTATTAGAAAAAAAGGCTTGAATTTGAATTGAAATTGTCAATAAACTCCAATATTTTGAATAGATTTAAACTTTCTAATGTGTTGTGTTAGACACTGGTAATGTGTGATCTTTGTAATGGAACTTGAATTGTTGAGATGCGCCGTATGTTGACTTGCATTGTGTGTGGATACTTGTGTGATTCTACGTTTGGTACATAAGCGTAGTCATCACTGATGGAGATCTATAGTGCTTAAGGACCTTCAGTGATGCTTGAGCTATGTCCCTCATTTATGATTCTTTCTAGTTCCACTACTATCTCACCTCATAAAAGATACGATCTCGGATTAATAAACAGACAATTCATACACTGGTTCATTCCTTTTCTATCTTTTACTCACTGTGATATACCTTGCAACTATTGGCCAGCCGAGTCACTTGAATCAAATAGTCCAGTGATACCAATGGGTTGGTGTCAAATGTAATGTGTTGATTGGTAACCCAAAATGTCAATATACACAATTGCATGGATTCTGCAATGACACTGCAGTGATCAATACAATACATGGTAGTTGAATGGTGTAGTATGATCAAGTCATTAGTCTAATACACATGGTTTGGCAATAAAAGGTGTTTATTGAATGAACGACATTGGATGCATGGCAAATCAAAAGTAAACCAACATGCAATACACGCTGCATTACAACATATCCTAGATGAGACTGTTGATAACCCACTTTGAGCTGCAGCAATGTGACGAGTCTGATTGAAGAGTTTGTTGCTGAACACCAGAATCTTGAAAAGCTGCACCATACCCAAATTATTGCAATCACTGCGAAAAAACAGCAAAGAGATACTCATAGCATTCCGTATATCCGGGATAGTCTCCCAGTTTTGGAACTTCGCCTTCCCCTGATGGTACCAAGCCCAAGTACTTTCGAAGTGTTTTCTTATAACCCATATTTTTTCCAATCAAAACCATAGCCTCATCGGAGAGTTTCTGCAGCTCCTTTTCAAGCTTTGCAAGAGCTTCACGCTCTGTTTCAAGCTCAAACTGAACAGTATCCAACCCATCGTCCGGAATTTGACTCAGAATCTCAAAATGTTTCTCCAGTTCCTCGAGTAGTTTTTTTTGAAGATCAAGCTCATGACGTTTGCTGCTGGATTTTTCAAAATTTTCGTTAATTTTAATCTGACCTTGTGCGATTTTATCGATATACGATACTTCAACATCATCGAATGGACTGCAATACTCCTCAAGACCTTCTGGTGTAGGAAACTCTGGATATTCAGGTCCACCGGTTGAACCCCCGCTTGTAGAGGCTGTCGGAGTGCTGACCTCTGCACTCATGGTCGAACTCGGATCGACTGGATTGGCGATCGTGACTGAGCATACAGCAATGATTGATGACAGTACGGCAATTGAAAATTTCATTTTACTGGTTTGGTTGAGCAAGTTGTAATGAATGTCATTCAACACGTCGATTTGGTGTCGTATTTATACACATTATTGGCGGATAATATCAAAAGCATGTTCCTTGAATGGCCGCTTCAGCGTATTGGCTTTATTTCATTTATTGCATTTATTGCCAGGGTTAGTGATGATCTGCTGTTATCAATGTCAAGGTAGCTTTAAAGGGATCTCCCTTTACACAACCGTCCGTTGCTTGATCTGGTACCCGATATCAAGATCAACGATCAGAGTACACTTGCCGCACTATGATGCCGCTACATAGCACATTTCAGGTGATATCATTACATGACGGCACACAAGTAATATTGTCCATTCACTCCAGTTATGTTGCAAACACTCGAAATCTCGCCTGTTCAACAACACATTGTCACCAATACAATAGTATGTGACATGATCATATTGCATCAATCGACCAGTATACGATCACTGGATACATCACACGTTGATGTTTACCACTGTATATGTGTGGTGTATATTGGTTATAGTGCATAATATCAACGAGTTTATAAATACTGCTTACATCAAATACATCACGTACATCAAACCGACTCAGTGATATGCAAGTGTTGTGACTTGACCAAATCACAATCACCATATTGTCGACTGTCTAACTCGTTGATATTCAAACCGTGCCATCACTAGTCACAATATAATGGTTGACTGGTTCGTTTGATTGACCTGACATATCGACACTTTACAAACCTCGACTTGATTCATCAACTTGTATATTCATATAATGTTGGGTTTGTATCATCACGTTGGACTCGTTATCAAACACCTTGATGTGTCCATGCAACACAAACTTGATATACACACATTAGTTACTGTTTGACATGACTGGGTCGATCATCAATACCAGACAATGCAACTGTATTAGTTGCATGATACAATCAATCATGGTTGGCTCATCACCATCAAATATCAAATGTTGATCACGTATACATTGATTTGTAATTGCATGGTTCGTTGGCAATACACACTATGATATGATTGACAAGTTGTTGATTTGCAGTAATCAGATGTGCATCACCTGTAACATTGGATGCAATTGACGAGTTGTAACCACAAGTCAACAATCATCGATATGTTGGTGATTGTATTGACTGCATGATCGATTGGTGGACAATACAATCCACATTGATTATGACGTGTCGCAACTGGTTGATATATGCAGACTCGACTGATAATCGAGTATATGTTGATGTGTAACTCTGTCACTGGTTGTTTGGATTGGTCATTGCTACCGCATATATGCAGTGTATACATGTGTGATGTATTGGATATCGGTGTTGTGTATGTTGGTCAATATTCAAGCATCGACAGTCAAACATTGGTTAACCAACAGTTGTACGATTATACAACTGACCCGTGTATTGACAAGTGATCAACCTCGATCCGGTTATAATTGAAACGGTGGATCACAGGACTCGAAAATTGACAGTATTGCTGTGGTGTGATGTTGGCAATGTTGATGTCGAGACTGTCAATGTATTACAATGTATTGGTCGACAGTGACTGCGATCAATGACAATATTGCAGTCAGTTCAATCCAGTCTAATCCAACTGTTGACTGGAACAATCACCATCCACTTGTCAGATTCAGCATGCAAATATAAATGCATGTTTGTGGCACATTTACAAATCCAATAATTGACTGATCAGCACTAATTGGCATTGCAATGATGGTTTGCAACTCGGAAACAATCGAGTTGTACTGACCAACAATCCAAATGGAATCTGATCATGTGTGTATACACGATGTGACAGTGCTTGAATGATTATTTAGTGGTTATGTAATCAGGTCAGTCATGCATACAAGTCTGATATGGTCGTATCAAGTCGAGACAATGGTTGCATTACAATCAAGCTCAATTTGGACATTGAACATTGAACATTACAATGTCGAGTAAAAGACTTGATCCGAGTCACTGTATCATCAACATAATGTATTAAAATGATAATATTGACCAGTTGGATTGATACCAAAATGGATTGTTTAATCGTGATTGTTTGATTTGTACATGTTTGTGATTGAATGATATGGCTGCAGTTATTTGTCCATTTCAATACATGAGTGAAACCTTGAATGTATATTGTAATCCAAACTCTATATCACAGATATTGTTTAAATTGACTCTTGGAATTGTCAGTCCAATAACATGCCATCAAACGATCACCCGTTGAGTTGAGTGGTGATATTGGCTGTATTGGTTAGATAAACACTGTCGATTCTTGAATCAACACAACGATCATCATATGACACACAATCAGACTATAGTGTTGAATCTACACTTTGTGCACTATTAGTAATCATGCATTGCACGATCACCAAGTTTGAACCCACATTCATGTATTGTGTTTGATTGTTAATGTTGTCAATACAACTCTGTACACACATTTGTTGTATTCTGAATCACGGATACGATCACAATCTAGTTCAACAACAACGATGACACATGTCAGTAATGCAGCTGTTGTTTGCATGTCAATCGCCACCAACAATACCACTGTATTGTCAACCAGTCCATGACACTGACTGTTTATCACACACCAACACTGTTATTTAGTAGTCCATTTACGTCAATACAGCTGTCAATATACATTTGTACATGTGGTTTTGTGAACCGATTACAAGCCTCAAACAACCAACATTAGTACCACCATAATACAATCTGATCAATGGTGTGTCTGTATGGTAATGGCTGGTGTTGTGATATTCCAATTTGCTTTAAATACAATTAGTCGACTCATTGTCAACTGTACCACATACTTTTTCATACATTATTACAAATGGTTTCATTTATTAGATTGTAAAAACAGCCATTGTATCGATATACTTGATCCAAACATTTAGTTTTGATCACAGCTTTTTCCAACATAGATACAGCAAATATCCATGCGAGTGCATCCAGAAGTAGGTTTGGGACCACGAGTGGTTGTGGTAGTAGGTCCTGTAGTGGTTATGATGGGTCTTGTAGTAGTGGTAGTAGTTGTGGTGGTTGTAGTAGTAGTAGTGGTGGTAGTAGTTGTGGTGGTGGTAGTAGTACTTTTGCTAGAAGGTGGAGGTGAACCACCACCGCATTCAGCTGGAACAGAAAAATCGTCTACGTAATCCACGGCATTAGGTCCTAAACCACGTTTGGCAAACCCTTTCCAGATTTCACACTTGTTGGCACCGTCATAGTGAGCAACATCTGCTGCGACAATGGCATCACGAGCATCAATGAAATTGGTGTTGCATGGCTGGAGCATCATGCCACCAATCATAATCTGCATTGTGATAATATTGCCAGCCTTGCTCTTGGCATCGTACAGATTGGTAGAAAACCCATTCTTGGCAATCAAGTTCCAGTAAATTTCCCACAGCGCAGCAGCCCACACTTCACCGACAGCATGGACTTCCCCACGTTTTTTGAGATAGCCATAGGTCAAAGGATTGACTTGCATGTCAGTGGTGTAAGGAAAGGAACGCTTGCCATTATTATTGTTTTTGGAATATCTGCCAAAATAGGTGGGTGTGTCGGCTTTGTGTGATTGCTTGGCCGTCACGATCATGGCAAATATGTCGGACCAACCTTCTCCCATGCCTCTAGTTTCAGGACTGAACATGCACAGAGATGCT